ATGGTTTGGCTCATCTGACCCTTCCAATCATTAGGAACCTGACAACCACCAATAGTAGATTTTACACAGATGTATGCATTTGCCTATTTGTCCTTTTCCTAGTTTTCTGATAAGGACACAAAGAGACAGACTACTGCTGTGATTAATATAAAAGGAGAAAAAACAAACAAAGGATGTCCAACCTTTCACGCCTCATTTATATCATGTTTACTCACACCACAAGAAATTTCAGAAACAAGAAAGAAAACTGATTCTCAAAGGAAATAAAGTAATGAAAAAAATCTAACATCTCTTACAGAGACAGACCACTGGCACATACCCTGCCTCTTAAGAGAGAATTTATGTTTCCAATTTTGTTACTTCCATCTGTTTTTTTAATCCATCTCTGGATGGGTAGTCGGAATCGTTATGTTGGCCTCCCATGCTGTCTTACTTGAAACCATTAAGTTGAAGTGCTTAACAGCACCTAGTAACTTGTGCATTTGTCTCACGTTGCATTATGCCATGTCATACTGGGTGGTGATCTATTACAAGTGTGAACCTGGTATCTAAGAGATAATACCTTAATGCACTATGTCTCAAAGCAGGGGACATGTTTCCAAGCTTGAGAATGAACTGGCCGGAGTTGCATACAGAGTTCTTAGCTGTTCTCCAGAGTCTCAGCTTTCATGTTAAAAAAAAAAGTTAGTCTCAAGCAATTATGGTGGTTTGGAAAACCTTCAGTGTGAAGCAAGTGTAACCAATGCAGCAGGCATCTGCCTGAGTTTTCAGAGAACCTTTAATGTTAGCTCAGAGGTATGATTGGCTCCATTCATGTTCATTGGAGCTAACTCAGATGCCAATTATGATACATTTAAACATCAACATGACTTAACTACTCCACTATTCAAAGCATGTAAGAAAGGACAGGAAGTATTATATTATGAGCTCTATTCCAGTGTTGTCTGAAGTGGCCTGAGGGCATGGTATAAAAGATATACGAATTAAAATAAGGAAGCCTTTAATACCACATTGCAGAGTTGAAAAGGGGTGCAATTGCTTTCATTTTCCTGAAAGGGGGCTCACTTTGGGAAATACTACCTTAATGCTTCCAGCTCCTACTTCACAATAAGACATTTTTCAATCATACTGTACCATTGCTTTCGATACAACTTTCTACTTATAGAATTGAACGTTCTTCTCTTTCCCTCTCTTAGTACAGGACAGCTCTCAATCCTGTCTCTGACACATTAGTTTGCATTATGAATGGTTTATTAAAGTCCAGACTAATTAACACAGATTCTGAAAAAGGGGTCTTCTTCGGGATATCTAAAGGTCCCTGACATTCCCTTGGCCAGATTACTTTTTTCCTTTTGGGTTTCTTAATTAAGCCTGTCAAGATGCTGTAATATGAGAAAACTGTGGAATGAATTTCTGGCAAATCTTGGCTAATCCCATGAAAGATTTCACTTTCATTTTGGTGGTAGCCTCTGCTTTTATCATTGATACTTCAACTTTTACTTCCTCATTCCTAGTATCCCTGATTTCTGGCTTCAGAGCTGCCTAGTAGATGTTGCTGGGGATTAATAATCAACCACTGTTAGATATGCCACACACTGACCTGACTCTCCAAAAGGGAAAATAAAAGCAAAAAAATCCAAACAATCTCTTAAAGAGATATATGACCCTGTCACATATCAATAGCTTGTGATCCCAACACATTGTTAATGGAAATTCTTTAAACTGTGTCTGTCACTTGGCACTAGAATACCAGATACTATAGTCATGGGGGACCAGATGGATAGAGGAGATTTAGCAAATTTGAAGCATCCCCTCCAGACACAGTGACTGGACTTGCTGTTTGTGCACATCCTTCATAGTACAGCATCCAAGACTCAAACCTAGACTCCTGTAGTTTATAGGCAGCAACTCTATCAGACTGCAAAAAAAGCTGGTCTCTGGCTACGTCAGTGGAAACCCAGCACAGCTTGTCTCAGCGGGGCATCACTTGTTGTATGTCTTACACACCATACCTGAGATAATCACTAAACAAGGCATTAACAACACTAGTACATCAACTGTTTTGAGTTCTGTATTCAATAGCTTGTACAACTGCTACCCTTATTGGCAGTCTCACTAGAGGAGCCATTCTGATATTTGGACTACAAAATTGACTCTACTTGTGAGATCAACTGTAAGAGGTGAGTGAAAGTTCATAAAATGTCACAATAAACTATAAGAATAAATCTTGTAGGGAAAAGGTGCAGAAAGGAGACAGACTGAATTAGTCCAAACAAAAAAGGCCTACTGATATAATTCAAGGACTCTGTTAAGAATATGCCTGATAAACAAGAACAGTGTGAGACCAGAAATCAATGAACCAAAATTGGTGTGTCAGAAATTCGGTCTAACTGGTGAACAAAAAAATGAAAGGACAGGCTATTCCACCCATCACTCCCTTTAGGGGTTCTCATTGCCATCACTCCCGTGGGGGGAAAAGCTAGCTACCACGATGCTGACTGACCAAAAGACAAAAGAAGGGGAAGGAGACAGCTTCACTCTCATGGATGCCACCCCCATGTCTCTTAGGACTTCAGACCTTTTTATCCTTATGTCCTGACAAGGCCAAGCCAAAGAGAGGGAGTTAGATGACCTCAACAGAGGCTCCTGCTAAATCCCAAATAACATCTGGGATGTGAAACTGTCATCCCCCCTCACACACACATACACCTTCTGTGTTCTTTTCCTTCCCCACCTTCTTTCTTTCTCTTTTCTATCCATCCTCTTTTACCGTCTGTCCAATAAGACTATTTTGCAACACTGCTGTAAGCCTGTGACCAGAAAGAGGCAGCTAAATTTAATGCCCCAAACAGCCCAATGCTTGTACAATTTTGCCTAATCTCAGAGTGGTTGATAAGACCACGTATAGTGCCTATGTTTCTCCAGCAGTGAGGCTGCAAATGAGAATCAACATCAGAGACAGAAGCTAGATTTTCTCTCTTCGCTACTTTTTCTCTCCTCCTTTTATGTATGTCTTGTTTTCTTCTAGGAAACAGGATCAGACTTTAATAGCAACAACAACAGCTCTAGCCCATCTTAACTAATTTCTTCTCCTTTCCACAAAAAGTACAAGTTATTACCATCTAAAACACTGTCAAACATGGAGGTTTTCCTTCTAAAAACTCTCTCCAGCTAAAGAGAAAGAGACCAAGGAATGTTGTTAAAATGAAAGCCTTGCTTAATAATTAACATTTCAAATTCTTTAATTGCCCCCTCCAGCCCCCATTTATTTAATAAAGGGTTAAAAGGATTTTTAATAATGTGTTTGGCATGGTACTAAGCAGGCTGATGCCTCTGTATACCAAACCCTGAGCCTTGTTTAAAACTGTCTGATGTTGGACCATGACTGGATTATGTTAACACCTTTAACTCATTGGGCACATATATTCCATCTGAATTAATACAACAGGGCTAAGGAAGACTAAATATTCTGCCCCCTTAAAATGATTCATTCCTGAACCGGGACGAAGCTCCTTGGTATGGTGGTGAGGGAAAGATTTAATCACTTGTACTGTATCTGTTCCATTATGAAAATGGTGGTTGATATGTTTTAAAAGTACTAGGTACTGTGACAGGGTCAGGCCAGATGTCTACAAGAGAGTGGTCGAAGGTAGATACATTAGTTCCAGGTTAAGCAGGTCCCTTTTCCCTGGGTAAGATAACAGGGACTATTCCAGAACACTCAGGAACTTTCTAGAACTAATTAAGGCAGGCAGGCTAATTAGGACACATGTAGCCAATTGGGAAGCTGCTAGAATTAATTAAGGGTAATCAGAACACCCGGTTTAAAAAGGCTCTCACGCCAGTTAGTGAGGTGTGCATAAGGAGCTGGGAGTGAGAGGACGTGCTGCTGGAGGACTGAGGAGTACAAGCAGAAGTGGCGCCAGGGTTTTTGCCGCCCTAGGCAGCAGCGCTCCTCCTCTGAAGCTGCGTTCTCGGCAGCGGGGGTCCTTCCGCTCCGGGTCTTCGGTGGCACTTCAGCGGCGGGTCCCAGAGCGAGTGAAGGACCTGCCGCCAAATTTCCGCCGAAGACCCGGAGCGGAAGAAGCCCCTCTGGGCGGTCATGGTTCTTGGCAGCATTTGCGGGGCCGCTTTTCTTCCCGCCCAGAGGAATCGCCACCAAAATGCTGCCCCACACATCCTGCCGCCCTAGGCGACTGCCTAGTGGAAGCGCCAGCCCTGAGTACAAGCGTTAACAGACATCAGGAGGAAGGTCCTGTGGTGAGGACAAAGAAGGTGTTGGGGGAACACATGGGGAAGTAGCCCAGGGAATTGTAGCTGTCGCACAGCTGTTCCAGAAGGCACTCTAGACAGCTGCAGTCCACAGAGACCTGGGCTGGAACCCGGGGTAGAGGGCAGGCCCGGGTTCCCCGCAAACCTCTCAACTCCTGATCCAACACAGGAGGTTCCACCGGAGGGGAAGGTCTCTGGGCTTTTCCCCGACCCACATGGTGGATCAGCAGAAACTGCGGGGATTGTTCTTACTCTTTTTTCCCCATACTGGCCAGTGATGAGGTTATCTGAGTGAACAGCAGATTTAAGCCATGAAAGTGGCCAAACTGAGGGCTACTGTGAATCTCTGAGGCGAGCAAAATAAGCGCAGGATTCACCAAGGTAGAGGAGGAACTTTATCACAGTACATATTAAAATGATGGTCCAAAGCCACAAAGTTTGCATCTGAATCTGAATGTCCTAAAGCTTGAAAGTGTTTGAATCAGAGATTTTTTTTCCAAGCCCACTTAAAATATCATGGTCTCAAACTTTACTGCAGAAATAACTGGGTTACTCGTCTGTTTCCATCTTAGAATGAAATCCCCACTGGCACCCCATGCAGAAGGCCAGCACAAGTCCAATATGTCATATAAGTCAAAACAGGGTTGAAGAATGCATAGGCCTTTTGCAGATCCTCTGCACAAGGGCAAATTTCATCCTTAAAGATAGTCTTTTCTTTTTTTTTTTACCTGAAACGAAGATTGGCTGTTATAATTCTTTAACTCCTTGTTGGCTCCTCGAAACAACAGAACTCTTGCACAGCTGTCCTGCAATTTGGAGAAGGAGGAACTTGTTAATTATAATCTTTAATCACCAAAAACAGCCTTTAAATTATAAGATTTGGTGGTGATTTTGGCATATGTTTTTGAACATAAAACAATAAGTCAACAGTCCAAGAAATATGAAACTCTCTTCCAATCGAGGATTTAATTGATTAAAATAATTTTAATTTCCAATATAGTTGGAAAATTCTTAAATACTGTAGTTATGGGCACAGTTCAATTTTCCAATGTACTGGAAACAGCATAAGAACATAAGAATGGCCATACTGGGTCAGACCAAAGGTCCATCTAGCCCAGTATCCTGTCTTCTGACAGTGGACAATGCCAGGTGCTTCAGAAGGAATGAACAGAACAGGTAATCACCAAGTTATCCATCCCCTGACACCCATTCCCAGCTTCTGGCAAAGAGAGGTTAGAGACACCATCTCAGCCCTGCATGCAAGTGTAAGTAACAATTAAGGGGACCGTAGTATTTATTGAGATGTAAATACCTTGTTAACAATTCAGAAAAACATATTACAAAAATTCCATCAAGTTATTAAACAAATCAGATTTTACAGCAAAATTAGTATTTTCAAATTAAACTTTGTACGTTAAAGGTCTTTGATCATGTTGATACCTTCCAGCCAATGGGAACTGTTCAAGGAATAAATTATTGTGTTATATGATCAAGGGTACCACAACCTGGCCCTAAATACTTAATATAGACATCCACTAAACAGAAAGGACAGATTATTACCTCAATTTTACTTTGATTTATCAGCATATATCTCAAACTAAGCAATTAGCAGTTTTTAATGCAACAGTATATTTAATACAAGTTTTTTGAAATAAACTTTTTTTGAGCTGCTCATACTATAACAAAGCCAGTCCTCCATACACAAATAACAATACCACAACACAAAACTAATATACCCCAACCTCCTCTCCAAATGATGAGAGACCAGTTTACATGAGATCAGGTTCTGCTACAGAATATGTAGTTGAAATCCTATCAGTATAATTTTTTAGTTGAATACACTGTATTGCAGTAAGACACTAGTTTATACTGTTGTAAAATATTACTGATTACACTGCTCTACAGCCAAAATTCTTCTGAAATAAATGTAGTCAAACTTTACTAATTCTGGGTCACTGAAAACGAAAATGATGCTTAAAATTGTTGATTGGCTCTAGTTTTCAAGATATGCTATTGGGTCAGTATATACGACCCTTGACTTGGGAATGGCGGAGGATAAGTGAGTTATAAAGGGAAGGGATCTCAATTTAAATCAGAAATGACTAAAATACATCTTTGACTGGATCTATGAATAAATCTATGACTGGGTTTGGACAGTACTTGTTTTTTAGGCAAAACAATGAATGATGCAATCTGAAGCTAGTATTGC